GTCATCTAATCCTGTTTCTATTTAAATTGTTTTGAAATTAAACATGATTGTGTTTCCTGCCGAGCCATCAGGCCTCGGTAAGTGTACGTTCACATGCACACACCATTATGTTCTAAACACTGGGTACTTGACATCGTTTTTGCATTGCTGCTTTTATTTTGGAAATAGCTACTTGACCCTCTTGACCTCCGACACGCACGCGACCTGGTGATTAATGTTAGTTTGAAATGATGAAGACAACAAGTGTCGACCGAACAGGTCGACCACTCATGATTCTTTGATCCTGTTTCTTTGCCATGAAGTTTTTGATTTTACGTTTGGGTTTAAATGACTTTGTTGAGCTTCTTTCCCTGGTGGTCTGTTGTCTTGTTTGTCTTTGTCCTCTTTGTGACAGACTTTGTAACAGCGGTTTTGAAAGGTGCTCTATGAATTAGTCTTATTAAATATCTTAAAAAAATCAACAAAGAAGAAGAAGGAATATCTTTCTTTAAGCTTCTTCATTCATTAAAAACAATGATATGATTGTTTCATTTGGTGAATCAGGACATTAAGATTTTCTGAGTCACCATCTTCATGTAAATAACGTCTTCGTTCCTCAGTTTGAGAGACACGGAGGATTTAAAAACGTATTGTTCATTTTCAGGTTGATCATTTGAATTAATGTTTTCATGCTCTAATGTTCAGAAAACATTTCTCAGACTGTCCATCGCTGCAGCTCCTCTTTTCAGCCTCTGTCTCAAACACTTTAGCTCCTGTCTCTTTAAGAGCCCTCCTGATGAAGTCTGCTCTGATTGGTCAGCTGCTTCCAGCCTCTCCTTTAAACGGTATAATGTCGTGTCAGACTCGTTGTAAGCGGGTAACATGCCAACGTGGAGGCTGAGAAACACATTTGTCCTCCTACCTTTGCCGATAACCAAGCCACACTTGTCCGCAGGGATGGTGTAGGTCACTTCCTGTAGCGGACCTGGAGAGCCCATAGTCCAGTCACTGCGACCTCTGACCCTCCCGCCCCGCAGGGCTGAGCCAAAGCCATCGCGCTCCTACAGGCACGACAATGATTCAAAATAAAATGTTTACATTGTGTGTGTGTGTGTGTGTGTGTGTGTGTGTGTGTGTGTGTGTGTGTGTGTGTGTGTTACCTGTGCGGTCTGGATGAGCTCATTGATGAGGTGGACAGCGTGCTGACAGCGGTCTGGTTGTCCCATCACCATGGCAACACGCTCCGGACTGATGCCATCATCTTGGAGGACAGACAGACGAAGAGGTCAGAGGTCAACACGCTGTCATAAACACATCTTCAGTTTTAATCTAAATTAAAGCTGAAGGCAGTGACGGGCGGGTCCTCGCAGTCTGCGCATGTCGGGATGTGACGCGGCCTGGTTTTGTGTTAAATGTCACATCCTGTTGCTAGTAGGAGGGGCTATTATTATGTTTTGGCATGTAACTACGGTCATACCAGGTCATACAACATGTCAACTCTAGAGCAGACTGGACAATGTAGTCAAATTAGTGAAACTTCTTGGTGTAAACTGGATCACGCTGGTGTAAACGCACCTGCTTTAAACTGGATTCGGACTCCTGCATCATTCTGGATTTTCTTGATCATTTCTCCATTTCTGCCGATCACAATTCCAACAGCAAACCTGGGAACTGGAACCTGTAAAAACACAGAGGACGGATCTGTCAATATGAAGCGAGTGGAGACTTGTGTGTGTGTGTGTGTGTGTGTGTGTGTGTGTGTGTGTGTGTCGTACATCCAGGTTGGTTCCTCCCAGTCGAGCGCTGAAGTCGTTGCGTCCTGACCTGAAATCTCCATCCTTCTCCCTGATCACCTCCAACACCAACTCCCTCGCCGCCTGAGGAAGGAGACAGGGTGGAGTCATGTCACTAATGGAGTGTATGTGTGTCTTCAGGGACATGAGGACACAGATACTGCGACAGAAGTTGCAGTTTCAGTGTCTTGTCTCACAGGTGAATATTTCTACCACTGGTCCGACTACTGACGAGGCGTCCTCACAAGTTTAGATAAACATGTGCGTACCTGCACTTTGTACGGGTCTCCAGAGATACGAAGAGGTTTGTCGGCTCCTGTCGGCATCGGACCGTCCTGGATCATCATCATCTTTACTCCTGCTCGCTCCTACACACACACACACACACACACACACACACACACACACACACACACACACACACACACACACACACACACACACAC